AACTAACAGTGTGACAATATCAGTTGCAGCGTCAGGCCGGTGGCTGGAGGGTATTCGAAAATGGTATTACAATGCCGCAGGGTTCAATAAACTGGGTGAGTATCTGTGCTTTCTTCTGTTTTGTTTTGTTTTGTTTTGTTTTTTTGCTTTTTCTGAGAATGGGGCTTTTGCAAGAGTTATTGTGTCCATAAAAATACTTTAATGGTACTTGTGTACATTAGAATATTTTAAAATTAGGTCTCATTTTACTGTTATGTTAAATCACAACCATTTTTTTAAAATTATTTTGAGAGGGATGGAATCTCCTCAAATGTTTGAGATAGAAATAATTTTTGTTCTTGAAATATAACTGGACATGGTTCTTATTATATACTCCCTCTTCCCAACTCCTCCACTTAGTATTTTAAAATTTAAGTTATATTAACTTTAAAAGTAGAGATTCTTCAAGTGTTAAAATTGAATGACATCTTTACAGTCATCTGATGCCTGAACTGTTTTAGCACTTTATAATTTGCCATGAATTTCATTTTTTGTTACTAAAGCTTGATGGAAGTATCATTAAATGTTACTGGTTTCTTCGTACAATAGTATTTTAAGTTTCTTTAATATCTTGATCTCAGATTTAAAATGTAAAATAGTAGAGATGTGGTTTATTGATGTGTGTTTAAAAACAAGGTAAACATTTTAAATATTTTAAAAATTGTTTTAGATAAAGTAAATTTTGTGACAGTGGATTTTAAAAAGCTCATACATTGTTTCCACAGTACCTTTTTAGAAATAACCTAGTAAAGTAACCCATTATTATGTATAAAATACAGAGTTTCATCATACCTAACTTTTGATATTTCACCCATCTTAAGTTTATAAATCCTAAAGATATTTTACTCATTTCTTTAAAATTCCTGATTTTTGAGATACATACTCAGTATAACTGTCTTGTTTTCTATCACAGGGTTAATGCGCGATGACACAATACATGTGAATGAAGATGTCAAAGAAGCCATAAGAAGGCTTCCTGAGAACTTGTATAATGACAGGGTGTTTCGAATTAAGAGAGCATTGGACCTGACCATGAGGCAGCAGATCTTGCCTAAAGAGCAGTGGACAAAGTATGAGGAGGTAGAGCAGCTTCTTTCTATATAACAGTGTTGGCTATTAAGAATTGAGTCTTACAAAGAGAAAGACATTCATTTGTGTAGCACTTTAGAGTTCTTAAAGCTGCAAGAAATAAATATCCTTACAACAATATGGTGAGGTTAATAGAGCAAATGTTACTTCCATTTTAGAGACAAACACATTGAGACTTAAAGGTGAAGTGACTGTTCCAAAATCACTAAGCAAATCTCTAATATAGAGTTCCAGGACTAGAATCCCGGTCTTCTGCCTCCCAAGCCATTGTTCTCCCTCTACACTTTGCTTCCTGCTCGGGTGAAAAAATGGTGGTGTTCCCGTAATCAGCCCATTGAGTGGCCCTCTAGCTTCCCAGAAAGGACTCTGTGAAGCAAACCCTTGCCCCTTGAACTGCAGTGAAACTAGGCAAAAGCTTGTAGTCTCTCATTTTCTTTTTGGTCAGACTTTCCCCTCATAACCTATCAAAGCAACCGATTTATGGGTTTTTACATTTTAGAAAGGCAGACAGTTCTTTGCTAGAGAATGTTTTTTCTTAAGTTGGAAATTAATTTTGATGCATTTTTTCTGATGTTTAAGACCTGTTGAGTGTTTAGGATATATTAGTATATGATGGTGGCATGTGCTTTTTTCTTTTATTCGTTCTTTAGGATAAATTCTACCTTGAACCATATCTGAAAGAGGTTATTCGGGAAAGAAGAGAGAGAGAAGAATGGGCAAAGAAATAATCAAGTAATGGAAATATGTGGATGCAGCTGTCCTCAAAATATTTTTATTATGTTGTATAAACCTGAAATGTACAATTTAGAATTATCTGGGCTGCAAATGTATTACTTTAAATAAATGTCTATTATAATTTTTGTTGGAGTTTTTGAATTCTAAACCTAATTCTTTTCTTTTTTAATTTTCTTTTTTATTTTTCAATTACAGTTGGCATTTAATGTTATATTAGTTTCAGATGCATAGTTTTAGTTGCATAGTGGTTAGACATTTATATAACTTATGAAGTGATCTCCCCTATAAGNATCTGTTTTTTAAGTTACCCAATCTATGGTATTTTGTTATGAAAGCCTGAGCTGACCAAGACAGAAAAGATGGTACAATAGTTCACCAGTACTGAAGAAGCATCAGTCATACTTACTCCCTTAATTGTTTTCTGTCCCTAGATTTTTATACCTTAGACTTAACATGTTGGAGATGAGACCTTAAAAGTGTACTTGCTGTTACCTTAATCATGCAAATTCTGCTATGTGTCTTAGATTTAATAAAATTTTTTCCTGAACTGACCTTTAACCTTCCACTAAAATGGCTTGATGTAGATCTTCAGCCGGAGAAACTGAAGGCCGGAAAGGGTTAGTGTATCCTGGATTAGTAGTGTAGCGTTATGGCCTTAGAATTAAGGAGTCCCAAAGTTTTATCTGAATTCTCAGATTCTGGAAGATGAACCTGGGTTCTTCCTAGCTGTGCGTCCTTGGACAATTTACCCAACCTTTCTGAATCTCAGTTTCTTCCTCTCTCCAATGAGGATAATCATAGTACTTAAAAATTAGAATTAAATTTGAGAATTAAATGAGAGAATATGCCCATAAAACGCCTAGCGCGTTGCTTGGCACAAAGGTGCACTTAATACAGCCCAAGCTCTCACAGCTCGTCAGTAACAGAATCCAGGATACAATCCCAGTTTCCTAATACCTTACCTAAGGTTTTTCCCATTACGTCACACGGAATGCTTCTTGGAACCCGTCGCACAAAACGCCCAGCCTACTCGTTTGATGTAACTAGGAGGAGGCACCCACTGCAGGTGCCGAACGTCGGCCGCCAGAACTGCGCCTGCGCAAGCGTCCTCCGGAGACGTGAGGCGCCTGCGCACTGGGCCCAGCGCGCCCTCAAGGACTTACCCGGTAGGCAACGCTTTGTTCACGGGCCAAAATGGCGAGCAGGCCTGCTGGTAAGTGACTGATGTCCTGTTTGGTGGGCAGTGCTTCGCTCAACCTTTTATTTTCGCAGCAACTTGCTTCTCTCCTTCTGCTCTAACTGGCTAGGTTTGCGGCGTAAGGGAAGGTGGCAGCTCCGGTCCAGCCTAAAGGACCCCTTTCCCCTTCCCCTTGCTCTCCCCGGACCAGGCTCGCCTAGGGGTTGGGATGTGGACCTGCTGTTGGTAAAGGTGCCCGTGGAGGCTCCAACAGCCCTGGCGTTCCAGCTGCCTGTGTTCGGCAGTCCTTCCGCTCGGCCTCTGAAGAGTTCAAGGGCACACGGAGATAATTAGTGGATGACTTTCAACCAGAACGAACTTAGTGCTTACTGTGAGCCAAGCGCTGTCGTGTGCATAAATTCTCCTGCCAGCGGGACGAGGGGGATATTAGTTTACCTTTTACGCACATAGCTGAGGCAAAGTGACCGGAGGATACAGGATTGGAAACCTCATTCCACCCTTAGGCGCTTCTCAAACTGGGAATTCGGGGTAGCTGAGCAAGGGTGTCAGCAAATCTTCAAGTTAACCTTATCTGGAACGTCAGCTTGAT